ACCACTTCTGAATATATTGCATACAGCTGTCCTCCCAATCAAGATCTCAATGCCACCTTAGAGTTGTTGGTGCTACCTTGCCAATCACGGATTCACATACACAGCCTTCTGCAATATTACCTTTTGTGATCTATGTCACACGTAGTGCCTGATTTTCTCCATGGCTCGGGACTCCTTCCAAGAATTCTTTATCAGCCAAATATGTACTTTACATGGTCTTACCGCCACAGGGTTTCGCATTCAAAAGCTCCCGAAAGTTACAGAGATAATTAATTAAATTAATTACCACCAGCTATAATTAAACCATCGACCTCGTCTGTGGAGAGTTAGGTGCCTAGACCACTAGGCTACGGGACCCTAACCCCCATATAATTTTTATTGTTTTTTTATAATAAATTTACTGTGTTATAAATTTTTTTAAAATTTTATTTTTTTTTAAAAAAAAAAAAAAATTTTAAAGTTATTTTAGCTACAAAATATGCAACTTTATAAGTTTGTACTACATCAGCAAATTTAATAGGGTATAATATTGCAAAATAATTTATGAAGTATAAGAATACTATAATATTACGTAATAAATTTTGCAATATTGTAAAATATAAAATTACGAAATATTACATAAGATATTACGCAATATTATGTAAAATAATTTGAAATAATTTGAAATAGATTGAGATAAATTTTACAATTTAAGTAAGCAAAATTAATTCAAAATAGATTAAAATAATCAGAAATAATTAAAACTAATGAGAATGCTTAGAGCTAATATTTTTAAAGACTTCAATATTCAAGAAATTAAAATTACTGAATTTTATTTATAGGAATTTATTTTATAGCGCTATAGCACTGTAGTGCTAGGACATTTTAACCAATTAAAATTTAAGATCAGATGTAACATGCAGATCAGCTTTGTGTAACAAAAATAAAGAAATTTTTTAAAAAACTATTATATCTCAAATTTTGTCTAAAAACTATCTTTTGAGCTTTAACAAAAAAAATTTCTTGCTAAATTTTACTATAAAAACTACCTAACCTTAACCTTTAATCCTTACCCTTACTCTAATATTAAATAAAGTTAATTTTTGTTTTGTTAAAAATTGTTTTGATTTACATATTACACAAGTTTGTTTATTATATATAGGGTAGCATCGCAGTGCTATAGTGCTATAGTAATATTCCCTTATTTATAAATAAAATATTCAATTTTATTTAAAATAGATTTAATTATTTCGAATAGATTTAAAATAATTCTATGTAGCATTATTTAAATTAAATAAGATGAAATGTATTTGAGAAATGGAAAAAAATAGAATTATTTAAAAAATTAAATAATTTGAATAAATAAAAATATTAATTTACATATATTATATGGGTTTAAAAATTTCACGCACCTGCATGGCCATGCACCCTCTTTAAAAATTAATATAATTGGCTAATTTTTATTATTAAAAAACATTAATATATTTACATTAAATTTGCTAAATTCATATAAAATCACTAGCCAAACTAAAAATAAAAAGCTATAATTAACCAAATATACAACTTGCTTTCATTATAGTAAACTCTTGCTATAGTGAAGATTCAATATTAAAGAATTTTGAATTCTGGATTATTAAACTCCAACTTGATATAGTAATGCACATATAGTTTCTTTTGATATAGCTATAGTAAAAATTTTTTTTCTCAGCCCGGGGACTTCACTAATAACAAGAGTAAGTTGTATCGCAAAGACTCTTGTTACTAAGCAATTTCAGAATTATTAAACTCCAACTCAATATAATGAAGTACATATAGTATTCTCTTGATACAAGCTATAGTGAAGATTTTTTTTCTCAGCCTGGGAACATGAGAGTAAGTTGTAAAAAAAAAAGATAAAGAAATTCTGATAGTTAGTATAACAAATGTACTGTTTGTAATAAAAATACAAAATATAGAAAAAATTGGTTATACAACTCACTCTTGCTATAGTGAAGAATTTTGAATTCCAGATCATTAAACCCCAAATTGGTATAGTAAAGTACACATAGTATTTTCTCGATATAAGCTATAGTGAAGATTTTTTTACTTAGCCCGGGGATTTCACTAATAACGAGAGTAAGTTGCATTGCAAAGACTCTTATTTCTAAGCAATTAAATACAACTTAATACAACTTAATACACTCACTATAGTGAAGATTCGAAATAGTAAACAATTTTTAAATTTCAGAATTATTAAACTCCAACTTGATATAGTAAAGTATATATAGTATTATTTTGATACAAGCTATAGTAAAGTTTTTTTCCTTAGCTCGGGGATATGTTGTACATAATATGGCAATTTTGACAAAAAAAAAATAAAGAACTGGTAGTTAGTATAACAAGTATACTATTCATAATAAAAAATACAAAATATAGAAAAAATAGTTTATACAACTTACTCTTGTTGTAATAAACTCTCGCTATAGTGAATATTCGATATGTTGAAGAATTTGAATTCCAGATTATCAAACTCCAACTTGATATAGTGAAATACATATAGTATTCTCTCGATATAAGCTATAGTGATTTTTTTCCTCGGCCCGGGGACTTCACTATAACAAAATTAAGCTGTATTGCAAAGACTCTTATTTCTAAGCAATTAAATACAACTCACTCTAATTATAGTAAACTCTCGTTATAGTAAAGATTCAAAATAGTAAAGAATCTTGAATTTCGAAATTATTAAACTCCAATTTAATATGAAGTACATACAGTATTCTTTCAATACAAGCTATAGTGAAGTTTTTTTTTCTCAGCCCGGAGACACAAGAGTAAGTTGTAAAAAAAAAATAAAAAACTTCCGATAGTAAGTATAACAAATATATTGTTTGTAATAAAAAACACAAAATATAGAAAAAACTGTTTATACAACTCACCCTTGCTATAGTGAGAACTTTGAATTCCAGATTATCAAATTCCAACTTGATAGTGAAATACATAGTATTCTCTCTATATAAGCTATAGTAAGATTTTTTTTCCTTAGCCCGGAAACTTCATTATAACATGATTAAGCTATATTGCAAAGATTCTTATTTCCAAGCAATTAAATACAACTTATTTTCATTATAGTAAAGTTTCAAAATAGTAAAGAATCTTGAATTTTGGAATTATTAAACTTCAATTTAATATGAAGTATATATATAGTGAAGATTTGTTTTCTTAGCCCAGAGATTTTACTAATAACAAAAGTAAGTTATACAATTTTTAGCAAAAAATAAAATAAAATAAAAAATTTCAGATGGTTAGTATAGCAAATGTACTGTTTGTAATAAAAAATACAAAATATAGAAAAATTGTTTATACAACTCATTCTCGTTATAGTAAACTCTCGCTATAGTAAAGATTCAATAGTAAAGAATTCTTGAATTCCAAATTATTAAACTCCAACTTGACATAGTAAAGTATATAGTATTCTCTCAATATAAGCTAGTGAAGATTTTTTTCTTAGCCCAGGGACTTCACTATAACAAGAGTAAGTTGTATATACTATCTCAGGCCTTTGTTCGTTCTCTGATCTAATTATTACTGTTGTAGTATGATACTCATCTACAAAACGTAAAGAAAATCATTCACACAAGCTATTCCAGACCTTTGCTCAACACCTGATCTGATAATTATAATTATTATAGTAAAATACATAATCAAATCCAATAAATAGCTTAAGCATACTAGTAATATCTGAGTATTTACCAGACTGCTTAGACTAGAGGTAATGATCTATAAATACACTTTCGTTATAGTAAACTCTTGCTATAGTGAAGATTCGATATGGTGAAGAATTTTTGAATTCCAGAATTATTAAGCTTCAACTCGATATAGTGAAGTATATATATAGTAGTATTCTTATGATACAAGTTATAGTGAAGATTTGTTTTTTCAGCCCGGTAACTTCAATATAATGAGTAAGTTGTAATCAGATGTGTGAACAATATCTTCTACACTCTAATGCTCTATTAGTGATTAACTATATATTCACTTCAAACCTCCAATTTCAAAACATGTTAATATCATTCAAATCCCAAAGTTAAATTATAGAGATATATACTTATTTAAAGCTAGTAGTATTTTGAAGATAGTATTATATATTTATGAGAACTATTCACTTATAAAATCTGTAGATACACAGCCTTTATACTGGAGATGCAGTAACTGTGAGCTTATGTCATAACTAATTACGACATAAGTTTTAACCAGTTACGGTCTAAGCTGTAACAATTTCTACCACAACTCTAGTATATATATGTGATTAAGACTAATATAAAATACAATTAAGAGTTAGTATAAGTTATAGTAATTTGTCACAAATACAATAGTAGTTAAATAAATAACTTACTCAATAAATATAGTTGTTTCTATTGTTTTACCACAGTATACAGTTATTAAGGGTTTTACTCAAGAATTTCATTCTTAAGATTGAATAGTACTAGCTACTATTCATGAATCTAGCAATCTCATTAGTGAAAATAAAGAATACTTTACGTAGTAGAGCTAATAGTAATTAATGAAATAATAACCAAAGTGAGAATAATAAATCTTGTGATTATTATATGTAACATAAAACTTAAGTAAAAGTTTTCAGAACAAAAATTTAGATATACTTACCAGTTTGTATTAACATAATAATTAGATTAAAATCGGGCAGACTAATTAAGATCGACAATTTTTTACGCCAATTTTGTCAAATTATATTTTTAAAAAATACCTTTCAGGAAGTCGTACAGAGTTTTTGATACCAATAACTATACAAATTATATACCTCACAATATCAAGATTATAACATCATATCTATTGCAAATTTAAACTTTCTATTGTATTAATAATACAATAGAATAAACCATTTTATTGAAAAAAAATAGATCATTATATAAATAGTTTATTAAAACCACACACTTTATCTAACTACTTTTTCGGACATCTAGGCCAGTAATATCCATACTCTCCACAATTTCCACACTGATTCTGACGCTTAGCAGGTGCTAGTTTCAGTTCTTCTGATCGTTTAATTGCTTGGAACTTTTGGGCTGTCCTTTTACTTTACGCCTTTTTGGGTTTTGAAAAGATATTCCAGCCAATAGATCATTTTCTTTATCATCTTTAATGTTATCTGAGTCATCATTATTATTACTGCATGTCTCACCATAATCATTATCAGAGCTATCTACTAACACATCTTCTTGCAATTCAGTTAATAAATCTTGTAGTTTCTTAAGAATGTCATGCTGGCGAAATCGAACTGCCCTTTGTGTAATATCTCGTGCTACCCCCACAGCTCTCCATACAATTTTTGCTCATTAATATCCTCCTTTCTTTTATTTCAAAGATCAGCTATAGGTGTAAACTATTATCTCTTATTAGCTCTACAGGTTGGTATTGAAAATGGTTTTTACTAAATCGTGTAGCAACATAATAGGGCTCCTCTTGTAAATTGTTATGAATATCATTGTACTATCTTTTGTGAATATGTGTAATATGAAATGCAGCCACGGGACAATATAGCATCACCTGAAAAAAGTGACGACAAACTATTCCGTGATTTACAAGCTCTAAGCAGGAACATATATAGGTTTTGTTTGAAAGAAGTATTACAAAATAACAAAATTTTGATGCTGTAATTGTGTGAATAGCCCAGGTTTCCTCAATTTTACTAACATCTATATTTTTTAACACATAATTTACAGAAACTTGTATTACGTATTCGTTATCTTCAACAAATTGCATAGTATCTGATTCAGACTTAGATAAAAAAATTCTGTAAGTATAATAAGCCAATCAGAATATTAAATTTAAAGACAATATAATGCATACCTCTTGATATCTAGTTAGCTCGGCTTTTGTAATAGAGGATGCTTGATAATTTAAACAACTTTTAACCTTAATACGTTGAACTTTTAGCATCGCAGATGTAAAAAAATGACTCAAAGCCTTGTCAACTTCAGAAAACAATGCTTGCGGTAATATGATAACAGAAGATATTAATGGAATTTGGGTTTTCCAGTAAATATATTTAGTTTTGTTACTTTCTTCATTTATGTATGTTTCTAAAGCATCAGCAAGTTCCATAAGACTAACATTAGAGTTTAAAACTAATCGCTTTATTTGAGCATTGTAACTCTTAACTCTTGACATTGTCTGAATACTAGCTGTAAAAACTTTAGCCATGTATACACGTACCCATGCATGTTTTAATGAATATAGTATTTGCAAATACTTGACAACTCTAGGCTCATTATATTTTTTAGTTAATTGTACCCACTTATGTTCAAAAACATTTGGAATAAGTGAATTTCGAGCCATATAAAAGTCCTTAACAAACTCATTATATTGTTGACCCAACTGGGCCTCAAGGTTTCGAAGAAGATTTTGTGCAGTATGAAAAATACAATGTATAGTATAAGATTTTTCATATTTCTCAGAAATAGCAAGATCCAAAGCTAGATCGGCATTGGTTATAACAACTGCAGGTATGTAGCTACCTGTAGCAAGTTTCGTTTGTTCGTTTGGCATAAAACCCATCGATAAGAGTTTGCTGATTCATTATCCATAAGGGCACATCCAACTAACTGAGAAAGCCTATAATTATCAATGTATAAAAAAAGTGAGAAAGCCATGTTATAACGATTTGTCTTGGCAGTATTATTGTTTAAAATAATATTGCTAAACTTTATTCGGAGAATAATTTGATTAGGAGATATCCAAAATAGTTTTCGAAGACTATGTGCATCAGCAAATTTATAAGACTGTAATATTTCGTAATAATTTACGAACCGTAAAAAAGCCATAATATTACGTAAAATATTGCGAAATATCAAATACGAAATATTACGTAAGATATTTCAGAATATTTCAAAATTTCTTACATAATATTACGGTTTTTTTACATTAAGTAAAAATTTTGAAATAGTTCGAATACATGCAAATAAGTTATATTTTTGATTTTCATATCATCTATGATCCACCAACCCACCGTTTTCATTATTCCTGGGACACCTATTGTTACAGAGTAGTAGCCTTCTTAATTTTACTCTATAACGATGACACGGCACAGGGAATCCTTTCGTAGGTATATGTGGTGTCCAAGAGGTAAGTATAGCTTCTTTTCTCTTTAAGAAACTATAC